GTATTACAACCACATTTAACAGTATTTGGTCTCATCCACGACCAGTTCAAAGTCACGATTCTTTCGTTGACGATACTTCCTGCTGTTTTTAAGACAGCGAATGTGTACGAGAAAAAAACCTGAATAGATCTGCGTCGGCGTCGGCGTTAATAGATATCAGGGGCTGTATTGAGTTAGATACTATGGCCCATTTCGAACACAGACCAGCCTTCGCGCTAGTTCAATGAAAGACGGACACCACCCGACTCTTACCAATGCTTCCGGAGGCGAAAAATGGCCTATTAGCACGTTCAACTCGTCGTGTCATTTCTAAGGTATCCAAAACCGCCTCTTTAACGCGGTTCTGTCCATTTTCATAATGTACATCCGTATACTGACTCTTGGACACCGTCGGCAGCGAGTGCTTGACTCTTTTACGAACCCTACACACTTGTCCCCATTTTAGCCTCTCAGGTCACGCTCACAGGGCATTTTGGAGTCCTTTTCGATTTCCCTGTCTTTATTAGTGACTATCCAGCTTGTTTGCAGTCGGTACTGGGACAAATGACTGAACCGGCAACTTTTTATTCGAAAATCTGCATCCATGCTATTCGCGTTGAGTATATGCATAATTCAGCACCAGATTTATTATCCCTTATCCGGATCTGCTCTCCTAATTGCAAGTCGATATGTAGCTATTCCTTTATACTTAGTAATATCAAATTATAACCAATGATTTGCGGAACCTGATCCACGTTTTCATTTATATACCATAGTTAGTAGTCCTATTGCGTGCAATCTGTGTTAGGCTTGAGTAATCGAACTTTTCACCATTCAATTCCAGTACTTAACTCTCTGACCATTTGGCCTTTCTAGACCGAAGCCAGTTTAGCCTCAAGGATTACGGCGATGGCAAACTTGTTAACGAGTGCTGCCTCACAAGGATTCAAAAGAAGTCCCCGGACCTTGACCAACCAGCCATGTTTGAACAATTCGAATTTTCATCTGGCGGCGAGCTCGAGGGGCTGCAACACTGATCCTACGCTTTTTCATTCCCCGCTTTCCAATGGCCCCAGTTCCTTAGGAACAGGTAATGTTTCTCAGGGTGATACTCGAACGCAACCATTAGAAGTGCTTCGGCCAGCCTCCTCGTCTAATCGGAGGGTGGAAGTATTGCCCACCGTCTCTAGCAATTCACACCGATCTTCAGGTTCTTCTATCATTGGCGCGCCACCCGCTGATTCATCAGCTGTGAGCTCTTCAAATGATATAACCAATTCCAACATTGACTGGCGACATTCTTCCAGTCAGTACGGTGAAAAGCCGAGCCTCTTAGGCCACTACAATTCAGGTAACATTCCCGCCCACAAATTGCGCACGTTTTCTCTTTTTTTTAAAAACAGCTGATTTTACCTCGTGTGGATCTAGTTCCATTGTGATGCACGCAGCCTGCAAGTCTAGGGGAAGTATCAATCGGTTACTTTCCGCCTTTTTTGATTCTTACTTACATCAAACCATGACTACACGGATACAACACTTCAAACCTGGACGTTCTGCAACCCAGAATGCGGGGTTCCCAGTGTACTTAAAATAGCAGTTTGCAATATACCTAGTGTCAAAAAGTCTTATCCAAGGTTCATCTCAACTGTTAATTTGGCTTAATGGGGCATTCGTATATCATACTGAGGACTCGCTATTGCGTCCGGTGCACATCCAACAAATCACGTTGTTTGAAAGGGGTTATCAAAGCATCATCCTGGTTATGCCAGTTAATCAGTCAAACACAGTTTTGAGTCAAGTTCTGCCGCCCCTGATTGTTGGGAGAAGGATAACACGATTCTGATGAGAAAAAACTATTTCAATGTGAGCTCGATTCTTTGCAGTAGAACTGAGTTTTAGACTTAATTAGGGTTTTAGACTCCAGATG